CCACAGGGTTGCCATGAGTCAGAAAGGACTCCATGGCTTGGTTTTGGTATAATCTATGAATGTTAGCACACAAGTTTCCAAATGGTGGAAACAACAACACTACTGTCCTTAAAGTGGCTTATCACTGTGTTTCTAATTAGAATCTTCTTTGTGTGAAGGTCTATGGTTAATAACTACTTAGAAGCCCTTCCCAAGCAGATGTGTGCCCAGATGCCTCAGCTCAACTGGCTGTAAGTATGCATTTGAGATCTTAGGGATTACTTGCCCAGATGATGGAAATTAGGCTTGAAGTTAATGCAGGATGGTAATAAAAGGAGCCCTGGTGACAGTATGGTTAAGTGCTTGGCTGTCAACCAACAGGTTGGTAGTTCGAACCCACCCAGGGGCTCTGCAAGTAAAAGACCTGGTGATCTGCTCCTGTACAGATGACAGCCTAGGAAACCCTGTGGGCAGTTCCACTCTGTCCTCTAGGGGCGCTGTGAGTCAGAATGGACTCCACGGCAGTGGGTTTGGTTTGGGCTTTGCTTCTGTGAAGATTGACAGCCTTGGAAACCCTGTGGGGCAGTTCCCCTCTATCCTCTAGGGGCGCTGTGAGTCAGAATTGACTTGGTGGCACACAACAAGAACAACAGGATTTTCTTTGCCACTCTAAAATCTCAGCATCTTACCTTCTGGTTTAAAATCTTGTGAGTGTTCCCACAGATAGGAGGATAAATGTCAACCTTATTCCTTGAGCCTCTGAGAAACAGACCCAAACCCAAATCCATTGCCACTGAGTAGATTCCAACTCACAGTGACCCTAGAGGACAGAGGACAGTTGCCTCATAGGGTTTCCAAGGCTGTAATCTTTACGGGTTCAGACCGACACAGCTTTCTCCTGTGCAGCTGCTGGTTGGGTTTGAACCTTTGACCTTGGAACCTCTGCACCACCAGGGCTCCTGTGCACCTATGAACACCTCATTTTCTACCCTTTATCTCTCTGGTCTCTGCACACCCCTCATTCGCATGACCCTTCTTTGCAGACATACCAAACTGCTGTCACCATTGAGTCCCTGAGCGCACATTGCCCCAAGAGCCTTCCTCCTCACCCTCTTGGCTCACTCCAGTGTTTCTGTCAAAAGTCAGTTTAAACGTCACCTCCTCCTGGAAGCCCATTATGATAGAGGCTGCCCCTGCATGCCCATTGCCTCAAGCACAAGGTTGAACTCCTGCAGCCACTCAGGAAAGATGTAGACACACAGCAAGAACCCATGGTGAGCAAAATGGCCGGGTCAGAAACAAGAAAGGACTTGAAACTCAGGTCCGACCTAAAGCACTGCAGCTTATGGTCATTTTGGGGGACCTTCAAGTGCATTCAGACTCATGGTGCCCCTGTGACAGAGTAGAACTGTCCCTGTAGGGTTTTCTTGCCTGTCATCTTCACTGGGGCCGATTGCCAGGTCTTTTCTACCGTGGTAAGTTCAAACTGCCAACTTTTTGGTTAGTGGCCGAACGCTTAACCATTGCCCCACCAGGGCTCCTGGCTCCAGTTAAAAGGCAGGGAAAATCCTGCCCTGGCCCCACGTCCTGCAAGCTCTTCCTCCATCCCTCGCTACACTGACCAGTGACTCGTTGTCAGTGACTCGACTCTAACTCATGGCAACTCCGTGTGGCTCAGGATAGACCTGGGCTCCGTAGGGCTTTCGGTGGCCGAGTTGTGGAAACTAGAGCCCCAGGGCTTTCTTCCAGTTCCCTGTGGGTGCACGTCACTCTCCAGCCTTTCAGTAGCAAGGAGTGCGTTAACCATCTCACCACCCAGCAACGCCAGTAAATGGTTGTTGAGGTGGTTAAGGAGCTCAGGTCAGGTAGTGGTTAAAGCATTGGGCTGCTAACCAAAAGAAGGGCTGTTCAAGCCTGCCAGCCACTCCGTGGGAGAAAGATGAGGCAGTCTGCTTCCAGAAAGACTAAAGAGAGCCCTTGGGGCAGTTCCACTCTGTACTGCAGCTGTGAGTCGCAATGGACCCAGGGACAGTGGGTGGGTGATGGGGTTAGGTGACATCGGTCCAGTTCCTACTCAAAGCAACCCCGTGTAAAACCCTGTAGGGTTCTCTGGGCTGTCATCTTGTGGGAGCAGATGGCCAGGTCTTTCTTCCGCAGAGTCTCTAAGAGGGTTGGGAGCGCCAGCCTTTCTGTTAGCAGCCACGTGATAGACATTCGGCCACCAGGATGCCCTCAATAACTACTAGTCCCTGCTGCTGTGGATGGATAATCTCATGACAGCTGATGTCATGTAACACGGCACAGAGTGACACTCATTAAACGTGAGGCCGCTCTTCTCCTCCATTTTATTAGTTCTGGCATTAACTGAAAGGACAAAGGAAGCATAATGTTTATTAAACCCTACAATGCTAAGAAGAAAGACATAGAGCTGCACTGAAGTCAAAACGAGGCTGAGAACCCTCATACCAACGCAAGCATTTCATCCCAAAACCTCTAGATGGAGGGTTTGTACAAAAAGCTTTGAAACACTTTTTTCCTTCTCACCTTTCAGAGACCTGGAAGGCAATCGAATCCAGTACCTCACCAATGGCACCTTCCTGGCCTGCAGCTCCCTCACAGTGCTGTAAGTACAGGAAGGGCTTCTTCGTAAAGAGGGGAGAACCCGCAGACTCAGACATCAAAGGCGAGCGTGGACAAAAAATTTCAAGTAGTATTTTTCTTACAGTCTTGGTATGAAGCTAGAATACAGAAAAAAGAAGAAAGCACACACTGATTTGTTGGTGTTGATAGAGGGGCTGAGTGTTAACTTAGGTCTCCAGCCTGCTCTCCTAGTTTCTGAAAAGCAAGAGCAAAGCCACTGCCATGGAGTCAGTTCCTACTCACGGAGCCCCTAGAGGACAGAGTGGAACTGCACCACAGGGTCTCCAAGGCTGTCAGTCTTCACAGAAGCAAAGCCCAAACCACACCCACTGCCTGGAGTCCATTCTGACCCACAGCGCCCCTAGAG